ACTCAAAATCGTGGCCCTGCCAAGTTGACAGGCAAACTTAACTACCACATATACTCCTCCCAGCATCTTCCTTTCCTTGGTTATTTTGTGCTGACCTCCTCTTTATTGTATATTGCCTTCCCCTTCATCCAAGTTAATATGTGTCTGCCTCTAGTTAGTGGTTTATACTCCCTTCTTCTTCCACCCCTGCTAACCTTCAAAGAATATTTCTTTTTGCATGAAAATCTGTTCTTGATTTTTTACTGTAGAGGTCTCACGCAATATTTGTACTTTTGTGATTGACTAATTTCACTCAGCATGAGGTCCTCTAGGTTGATCCATGTTATGAGATGTTTAGGACATTCAACACTGTTGTTTAACATTGCATAGTATTCCACTGTATGTATGTACCATAACTTATTTACCCATTCATCTGTTGATGGGAATTTAGGTTGTTTCTATCTTTTTTGCTATTGTGAATAGTACTGCAATGAACATGGGTGTGTATGTATTTGTTCATGTCATGGCTCTTATTTCTCTAAGATATAGGCACATACCTAGTAGTGGGATCATATGATATTTCTATTTCCAGCTTTTTAAGGAAATGCCATACCATTTTCCACAGTGGTTGCACCATATTATAGTCCCACCGGCAGTGTATGAGGTTTCTAGTCTCTCCACACCCTTGCTAGCATTTGTTGTTTTCTGTTTTGTTGTTGTTTTAATGTTGCTATTAGTGCTGGGGCAACGTGATCTCTTATTGTTTTGATTTGCATCTTTCTAATGACTAATGATCATGAGCATTAATTCATGTGTTTGTTGGCTACCTGAATGTCTTTTTTGGTGAAGTATCTGTTCATGCCTTCTGCATATTTTTTAATTGGATTTTGTTTTTGTTGCTGAGGTGTTGACGTTTTCTATAAATTTTAGCGATTAACCCTTTGTCTGATATGTCATTTCCAAAAATTTTTTCCATCTGTGGATTCTCTTTTACTCTTTTAAGACATATAAATCTCTAATTTTTAAAAGGTTTCAGACATCTAGTATATCTTCTGGTGTTTGTGCATTTTTAGTTATTTTTAATAGTATATTTATGCCATGTGTTAGGGTCGCTAAATGTGTCCCTATTTGTTCTTTGATTGCCTTTATAGATTTAGGATTTACATTCAGGTCTTAGATCCAACTTGAGTTTGTTTTGTATATGGTGTGAGATGTGGGTCCTGTTTCACTTTTATGCAAAGGGATATCCAGTTTTTCCAGCATTATTTTTTAAAGAGATGATCTCTTCCTCATTTAATGAGTTTTGGCCCTTTGTCAAAGATCAGCTGTTCATAGGTATGGATGGATTTACTTCTGGGTTCTAAATTCTGTTCCATTGTTGTATGTGTCTGTCATTGTACCAGAAGCAGGCTGTTTTAACAATTCCATAGTTTCTATTGGTACTTTTTGTAGATGCTGTTTCTCTGAGATTTCCTATTTGTTTATGTATCATGAGTATATTTTTCCTTTAAATCTCTCAGCGTAGTTATAACAACTACTTTAAAATCCCTGTATGCTATATCTAACTTCTCAATAATTTTGGGTTTATCCTACATTGATTGCCTTTTCTTGTGAATATGGGCACATTTTCTTGTTTCGTAATTTTGCATTGTGTCTTGGACATTTTGAATAATGTATTGTAGAAACTTCAAATTCTGTTATATATTTTTTGAAGAGTAGTTTGTTTTTTTATTTCTCACTCAGTTAATTTGGATGACTTAAACTCCAAGCTCTCTCCTGCACAGCTGATGGCACCAGAAATCTCTAAGGCTTAAGTGTGCTGCTGAGAATCTGCCCTGCACATACATAGTTCAAACGTCAGCAAGAGATTTAAAGAGTTTATACCTGGAATTTGGAGCTCCTTCTCCCTGAATCTTTCTTCCATCAATATCCAGCAAGTGAAACATTCCAAATTCCATCCTCTGATTTATCAAGCCAGTAAGGCTGCTGGTTTCTATCCTAGTTTTAATCCTTTTATTTGGCTTGCCTTCTGGGTAAAAGCCATATTAAAAAATCAGAAACTTACTTTGTGCCATTCTCTTCTTCTTTATGTAGACCCTCTCACTCCAGTTTCTGCCAAGTTGTGATCTCTTGCCAATGCCTTCAGGTAGTTTTGTTTTTGTTGTTGTTTGTCTTTCCTTCATAGTTGTTACCCGCACATTGGTTGGTTTCATAGGAGCTACTTGACCATTATTTGAAACAGATACTCTCAACATTTCTTTTTTAAATGTATTTTTGCCTGAAGTAACTCATAATATTTGAGAAACATTATTTATAATCTTCATAATAAAAAAGCATGTAATATTAACTCTTTATTCTTTCTCATTCTTCGTATAATGAAGAACACGCACAGTTATCCATGATTCTTTGTGAAACTGTAGCCATGGAAACTACATTTGTATGCTCTCTTGCTTATTGTCATAAAAGATCTTTGAGGATGTTCTATACATGTTTACTGAATGCTCAGTTCTTCGTACTAAAGAAGTAGGAAGTACTTTAGTATAGTGAGAGAGCAGAGCATTGGAGTTACATATATTAGAGGTCAATTCCTGGCTTTGTCACTTACTAGCTGATTTGGCTTTGTACAAATTACTTAAACCTCGCTTTCTCTATCTTTAAAACGGAAATCATAATATTTGCCTTTTGTAGTTATATTAAACCAAAAACCAAACCTATTACTGTTGAGTCAATTCTGACTCATTGCAACCCTATAAGACAGAGTAGAACTCCCCCATAAAGTTTCCAAGACTGTAAATCTTTATAGAAGCAGACTGCCACATCCATCTTTGTCCCACAGAGCAGCTGATGGGTTTGAATCATGGACCTTTTGGTAAGCAGCCAAGCACTTAACCATAAGTGATGTTTATCATGTGCTTGCCACAGGCTCTCAATACATAGCAACAAAAGTCATTATTGCCCTCATGATCATCAATATCATACTCATTGTCATAATTACTAAGTTGAAGTCATGAGGGAGAGAGTTCTGCTGCAAATAATATTTATCAATAATAACTGAAAAACCTAAAAGAGAATTTTTATTTTGTCACAACTTCTGCCTTTCTCTTTATCCCCAATAAAAATAAAGAGGTTCCATTTAGATAGTTTCACAGCTTCATCAAACAGCTTTAAAAGATATAGAATTACTACCAGATAGTCACCATCAGAAGCTCAAAAGTATTAAGTTTGATAGTGTGCAAACAATCTACAAAGTAAGTTGAGCAGGGGAATCTGTATAGGAGATCTTGGATAGAGTGGGAGAACAATGTGGAACAAAACTCAAAATCATCTTAAAAAACAAAGGTGAGGGGGACTAAGCTTGCTGGTCTGATAGAGCCTGATGGAACCAATGAAACTATGGCCCCTAGCTGCCCTTCAGGTCTGGAACTGAACCCACTCCTGTGGCTTCCAGCCAAACAAAAGACAGACATATGAGCTGAACATTTATACTAGGTAGATACACTCCTTGGAGAGAATAATCATGGGAGAATAAAAGGGCTGTGTATGTACAGGGAGACAGCTCAGGAGGAAGGAGTGCATGGAGGGAAGGACACAGGGAAGAAGTAACTATGGGGAGGAAGTGGGAGGGGAGCTGTTGCAATGTGGGAAATTGTAGTCAATGTCATGAGACAAAGTGTATGTGAACTGCTGTGTGGAAAGTGAATTTGCTCAGTAAACTTTCACCGAAATCACAGTTAAAAAAAAAAAAAAGTTGAGCAGACATTATTTAAGGCTCTGAACATTGGCCACAAGTTTCAGTTAGTATACCAGTCCCAGAAAAGCCCCTTATATTGATCCTGTTTCCTTTTTAGGAGCTGGAGTGAATGGGTAGCATATCATTTTCATGACTGAAACAAAGCCTTAGCCAGATAGGAGTCCATGATTTTACATATTTCTCTTTCCTTAACCAAAGAGCTTTGCATAACTGAATATAGCACTGAAAATTATACCTTGTTGTTGTTGTTGTTATGTGCCATCAAGTCGGACCAGACTCATAGCAACCCCTCCTTGGGCTTCCGAGGTGGTATCACTATGGAAGTAGATTGCCCAACTTTCCTTCTGAGGAGTGGCTAGTGGGTTTGAACTGCCATCCTTCTGGTTAGCAGTCAAATGCCTTAGGCACTATGCTACCAGAGCTCCTAATTATACCTTAGAAATGTGTATGTTGCTAAGAATGTTGGCCATCTTTACTTCCATCTTAATATTATTTTTTTTCTTAGCTTTTTGTTTTTGATATAAAATGGTTATCATTATCAGTTGCCAGCTTCCTCAAGGCCAATAACGTAGAAGAGACAACTTCCAAATAGTTAAGGGTGAAATTGTGTATATTTAGCTGTCCTCAGTGTTGGACACATAATACGTGCATAGTAAATCATTGAATAGAAGATAAAAGGGGTCTCTGAATTTGGCTTAGAATTCTCTGTACCATTTTTGCCATGTGGAATATACCTCCATATTTAAGAGTCATTTTTATGGCATCATAGGTGGCACTAGTATAAAAATGTAAAAAACAACAAAAAAAGGAAGTTAGAAGTTGAAGAAGTCCAATTTGGTCATTTAATCATCTTGATTCTGGGACCTGTGTACCTTGCCAGGTATTAAGGACCTAAATCATACTTTTCGACATATTATAAGTATATAATTTTTAAAATATATGTTTTTAAACTATATTGATTTATATTGATATTAGAAGTATAACAAAATCCAAATTTAAATTACTGTTGTTATTAGCTGCCATTGAGTCACCCCCCAACTCAAGGTGACCCCATGCACAGTGGAGCCAAACGCTGCATATGGGGCAGTTCTACTCTGTAACATGGGGTCACGATGAGTTGAAATCTACTCAGAAGCATGCAACAAAAATAGAGGTATGTGTAGAAACGTCAGGGGAGTGGTGCAGGAAGGAAAGCTTATGTAAGTAAGGAAAGTGGCTAAAATTTTGCCAAGCACCACTTTTTCTACAGTGTTTGCCTTTGTTTATTCAGGGATTACCAGGACCTCCTGGAAGCACAGGAGACAGGGGACTTGCAGGCGAACCAGTAAGTTTATATTTTTTCTAATTATGTTATTCTCATAATGTGCATTTACCTTTTTGTTATTTTTGCCCTGCTCTACTGTGGCTGGTATATTTTTGGAAGCTGCATTTATCACAGGTACCACAGACTACCTATATTGAACAAATATTTTGCTGAGAGTATCATATTTAGTGCTTTCCTGGTTTCATATAACTAAATTTGCTACTGTTTTTCTGGAACTGTTAAAGCTTGAGCATATTTCTATTTTCAACAAAGAAAACTCTGTTTTATTGAATCTCAAAAATTTTTTTTCTGAATGCCTTGCTGGCTGTTCTTGCAGTTATTGTCCTGCCACATACGCACAATCACATTTATGAAGCCAACTATATACTAAAAGACCATACAGAGAAGCCACACTCTATATCTGGTGGGCCAAAAAGTCCAAATATGACAGAAAAGCTGTTACATCAACAAAATGAAAAGTTACATCACAGTTTCATAAATATGATTGAGTTACAGTTTCCATGGAAAATGGATTGTGAAAGGGAAAGACCTTGTTAGGCCTTCTTTCTCACAATTTACTCTTTAATGCCTATGAAGTCATTCTTCTGGTTAGTGATGTTAGGTATAATGTGCTTCTAAGATTTATAACACAATATAGTCTTTCAACCTACTCTGTTGATCTTATCCGTAAGTTGATACAAAGGTTTATAGGTGGCCTTTGTATAATTCATTTAGCTAGTAGCAAGTGGAAAATTCTAACAGTCAAAGAACTATTCTTACCAAACTGTGTTCATTTCTTCTTTGCATGTATAAACTATGATATAAGCTCACCAAACAATAAATAAATGACTATGTATATAATCTTTCCAAATAAAAAATCTTAGACATGTTATTTATTTTATCCAGCTGAATGCTTCTCAGTTTTCTCCTTATTTTATAAGTCTTAACTGCCATCACAATTCTAATTGACCTAAAATAATATAACTTTCTTTAACATTACTCACTGCCATCGAGTCACGTCCAACTCATAGCAACCCCTCCTTGGGTTTCCAAGGCAATATCGCTACGGATGTGGATGGCCCAATCTTCCTTCTGAGGAGTGGCATATATGTGTGTGTGTTTGTATATGTCTACAAATATATACATTAAAAAAAAAGAACCTCATTGCTGTCGAGTCAAATCTGACTCATAGAGACCCCTCCTTGGGTTTCTGAGGCAGTATCACTACGGAAGTAGATTGCCCAGTCTTCCTTCCGAAGAGTGGCTGGTGGATTTGAACTGCCAATCTGGTTAGCAGTCAAATGCCTTAGGCACTATGCCACCAGAGCTCCCTCTTTAACATTATTTACTTAAATATCTGTCTTCCCTAATAATTCTGTAAGATCCTTTGAAGTCAGAGACCACAATTTTCACCTTTGTAATCCTCTTTCCTGACATATTATATCTGCTTAATAGATATTTGTTAAACTGAGTTGCCAAAGGGTAGTTAGTCTACTCAATGACATAATCATTCCGCCAATAACATTAGATGACGTGAAATGAAATAAAAATTAATCAAGTCTTAGTAAAGAACACTTTTGAGTAAAGTATGCCATTAAAAGTATGGCAACAGCAGAGACAATATCTAAAGATTTACCCAAGAAAAAATTTGTTACTATATCCCTAAATAGGAGCCCTGGTAGCATAGTGCCTAAGGCACTTCACTGCTAACTGGAAGGCTGGTGGTTCAAACCCACCAACCACTCCTCAGAAGGAAGATGGGACAATCTACTTCCATAGTAATACTGCCTCGGAAACCCAAGAAGGGGTCACTATGAGTCAGGTCCAACTCGACGGCAAATAACAGCAACAACAACAACATATCCCTAAATAGGAGCTCTGGTAGCATAGTGGGTAAGGCATTTGGCTGCCAACCAGATCAGTGGTTCAAATTCACCACCTGCTTCATGGGAGAAAGATGAGACAATCTACTTCTGTAAAGATTTACAGTCTTGGAAACCCAATGGGGGTCGCCATGAGTGGGTCAACTCAGTGTTAGTGGGTTTTGTAGCCCTAAATGACTAAATTGCATAACACATGAAAATTGGCTTCTAGGTCACAGATTTGGGGGATTGTTGTTGTTGTTAGGTGCCATCAAGTCAGCCCTGACTCATAGCAACCCCATGCACAACAGAACGATACATTGCCTGGTCCTGTACCAGCTTCATAATCCTTGCTATACCTGAGCCCATCATTGCAGTCACTGTGTCAACCTGTCTCATTGAGGGCCTTCCTCTTTTTCACTGACCCTCCACTTTACTAAGCATGATATCCTTCTCCAGGGAATGGTCCCTTCAGACAACATGAGCGAAGTAGGTGACATGAAGTCTGGCTATTCTCACTACCAAAGAGCATTCTGGCTACACTTCTTCCAGGACAGATTTGTTAGTTCTTTTTTTTTTTTTTTTCTGGCAGTCTGTGGTACTTTGAGGCGAGTGCTGGTAGATTAAATATGAAAAAAATTTATAATGGGCTATAATAGCCTTTGTTTCTTGTATTTGGGCTCTAGGTCTAATTATAGAAAACAAGTAAACTGGTAAAATGAAGAACATAGAAATATTTTAAAACTGTGCCAATATCAAGCTAGCAGTTGGATGTGGAGCTCAGCACAGAGGGGTTAAAAATACCATTGTAATTGATCTAGGGAGAGAGTATAGGTATGAGAAAAGAAATAAATCTTGTTAGTTTTCTCAATCTTAAAAACAAAAACATTTTCTTTGTACTGTTTCTCCAGAAAGAGCCAAAAGTGCAAGCAATTTCATCTGATGACTGGGAAATTACCATTATACTATACTTGCTAAATATTTATTTTTTAAAATTCTATCCAGTTAAATGGCTCCCACAAAATTTACATAGATCCACTAGGGTCAATAATTTAATGTTTATTCAATAAGTTGATATTCAGTGTTCATGTACCTAAAATGATGCCCTTCAGCAGCAGAGTGACCAAAAAAGTTCCATAAAGGTCTCAGTATGCATTTTATTGCACCTTCGTGATTATCTCATGCAAATATTTTTACATTTATGAATGTGAAATAGAGGACTATTCAACTGGCTTCACTATCTGAATAAAGTTTGTCATCAAGAAAACTCCAAAATAAGTTTACTATTTCATTGGAGACTTTGTATTTGCTTCTTCAAAATGTTATTTTGTATGTCACAAGTGGTTATGTTTGTGTGTCAACTTGGCTGGGCCTAGTTGAGTGGTTGGACAGCTGGTGGTAGTTATTCCTCCTCATGATGAGACTGGCAATCAACTCCATGGTGGGATCTACCACAAGCAGCTGAGTACCTGCTTTGGGTATGTGGTCTGCTTCCCATTTATAACAAGCCCCTTTGAAAATGGTCTCTAGCTTATGGCATGCTTGGACCCTGCATGTAGCCGTGTTGTTGTTCAGCAGCCTGCCATGCTCTGCTGACCTTGGGACTTACAATGGACTTGAATTAATGGTCTTGAATTAATGGTTTGGTAACCTCGAGAGTGTGCCATTTTATTTGTTGACCTTGGGCTTGTTAGCCTCAGCAGCTAGTAGCTGTCTGAGTGAAGAGATGCCTCTAGCTTCAGTGGGCCAGGAGCAAGAGGCAGAGCTGAAGCCCAAGGTCAAGTGGCTTTCACCCAGCCCCTAGAGGCTGGCACTTTGAATTTGGACTTCTAGCTTCCTGAACTGTAAGAGAATAAACTCCTGTTTTTTAAGGCCATCCCATAATGGTATATTTTTGTCAGAGTGGCACTAGGTAACCAGAACATCACATATTCACCAGAAATAGTAAGTAGACCCATAACTATCATATTTGTCAAATAAGATAACCTATGAAAACCTTTTGCACAGTGTCTCATGCTCCTTAAATGTTTGATAAGTATTTATGGAATGAAGAGTGAAGTAGGGATGAAATAATGCATGTTAATATTCTTTCTTTTCGTTCTTTTTAATTCCAGCAGAGTTTAATATTAGTTACAAAATAACACAGGTGAATCAACTCAAAATATTAATTTTGTTTATAGAGAGAATGAAGTCCTGCACTGATAAATTTAATGGTATTTTATACTGTAAATTCCATATTTAAGTGCATGTGGTAGTTATGTTTGTGTGTCAACTTGGCTGGGCCTGGTTGAGAGGCTGGGCAGCTGGTGGTAGTTATTCCCCATGATGAGACTGGTAATCAACTCCATGGTGGAATCTCCTGGGAGCAGCTGAATAGCTGCCTTTGGGTATGTGGTCTGCTTCCTGTATTTAAGGAGAAGACTTGGGAACGGTCTCCAGCATATGGCATGATTGGACCCTGCATGTAGCTGTGTCGTTGCTCAGCAGCCTGCCATGTTCTGCCAACTTTGGGACTTACAATGAACTTAAGTTAACAGCCTGCCTTGTGGTTTGATAATATTGGGACTGTGCCTTTTTACTTGTCAACCTTGGGGCTTCTCAGCTTCAGCAGCCAGCAGCTGTCTGAGTGAAGAAATGCCTCTAGCTCCAGTGGGCCGGGAGCAGGAGGCAGAGCTGGACCCCAAAACTGAGGGGCTTTCACCCAGCCCCTAGAGCCTGGCACTTTGAACTTGGACTTAAAGCCTCCAAATTGTAAGAATAAACTCCTGTTTGTTATGGCCATCCTATTTGTGGTATATTCTTGTCAGAGCAGCAGTAGGTAATCAGAACAGTGCTCATATTTATTGAAATGTAGATTAAACTTTGATTCTGATATTTTAGAATTTATTTTAACACAGGGACCACGAGGACTGCAAGGTGATGCTGGATCTCCTGGAGAAATGGGTGCCGAGGTAATTTTTTGTGGCTCTTTTTAGTTAGTTTATCACTACTCAAAACTTTTTGTAAGACTCCTTTAAAGTAAATTTGATATGCCAGATATATATTATCAAGAATAATTCTTCAGTATTTTGTTTCATATTGAGAAGAAGCTTAAACTCCATTAATAGCAAGGATGACTGTTGTATAAACCTGACTCTGCACATATAAAGTTCTCTTACTTTTTGAAAATTAGAGAATAAAAACCAAGTAAAGATTTTCCTTCAGAGACTCAGGAATAGGAGAAGGATATGGAATGTTTGGCCAGTTGCCTACCTGAACAACTGCCCCCTTTGCCATGAGACCAGAAGAATTGGATGGTGGCTGGCTACCATTACTAAACATTGATCAAAGGTTCTATTGACAAATTTTGACCAAAAGGGGAAAAATGCAAGACAGAATTTTAAGCTCTCATGGACTCCAGACTTTCTGGAGCCATGGAGGCTGACTGAACTCCTGAAACTATTGCCCTAATATAATCTTTAAGCCTTAAAATAAAAATATCCCCTTAAATCTTCTTAAAACCAAACAATTGTTTATCTTAACTAGTTAACAGTATCTGCCATGAGTGTTGTGCTCCTTCAAGATCTATCTATATGGAATCAAATTGACAACAGCCACTTGAAAGATTAGCTAGGGAACTTAGGGACAATGAGTTTATGTTGATGGGGAGACAACTCAGAAAAGAAGGGTGAGAATGGTTGCACAACTCAAAGAATGTAAACAGTATTACTGAATTATACATGTAGAAACTGTTGAATTGGTATATGTTTTCCTGTGTATATTCTCAACAACAAAATTAAAAAAAAAAAAAATGATTGTCCTTCACATAATTCCAGGGTGGTACAAATGGTTATGTCCTAACTATTAATGGAAAGGTCAGTAGTTCAAACCTACCCAGAGACCCCTCAGAAGAAAGGCCTGGCATTTTGCTTCTGAAAGGTCATAGCCTTCTACTGAAAGGTTCACAGTTCTACACAGTACACATGAGTTGGAGAGACTTGGCAGCAACTAGTTTGGGTTTTGTTTTGTTTTTATAATGTTTCACTCCAAGATCTCTTCTTTATTGAAGAATTTTATGAAGTGACCCATATTTAGAATATCTTTTGGAATAATAAACCACATTTTTTAAAAGTTTAAAATTCAATTCTTTTATTTCTATTGTTTGTTAAGTTCAGCGGTTGTAAATAGTTATAGTTATAACTACCGCTGCCCCACTCCTACTCTGACTGGAAAGGTGAACACCTGCCTCTGTGTGTGTCGGTATTTGCAATGACCACAAAGTAAGAATCCTACATGAATTCAAAAAGCCTTAAAAAAAAAGGGGGGGGGTAGTAAAAATAGTCCTAATGAAAGAGATGGTTCAGGGCTTTCACTGAAGGGAATTGGATGAAACTAGGGAGCTCTGGTAGCATAGTGGCTAAGACACTTGCCTGCTAACCAG